AACAACAACAATTAGGAACAAGATGTTATAATCGTATGAAGCACAGCATAAAGCATACAATAAGCACAAAATATGAATGCAACATACTATAAAGAAACAGTGAATTCTATTTTTAACCAAATTTTGCTGCATACAATAATATTTTATTTTATTTAATTTTCTTTAGGTGGACTTGGTAATTGTTCGACTTCCATATGCAAAAGTTGTGGTCATCGACCTACAAAAAAACCAATCTGACTTTGGTTTTAAACTAGAAGGACGGACGGTAAGCGAGCATAAAATTGAGAAAATTGATTTTTATTTATATATTTGCTTACTGTCTCTTATACACATCTAGATGTGTATAAGAGACAGTATATACAGTGCTCGAACAACAATAACATAAATAATGATAATATAATAATAATAATAATAATAATAATAATAATAATAATAATAATAATAATAATAATAATAATAATAATAATAATAATGGTAATAATAACAACAATTAGAGTTTAAAAGTCAGTAAACATGGAAGCTTTAACATAAACATATAAAAGAGTAAAATATACAATCAATACTATATTGATTGGATCACAATAAAAGTACCCTATACAAGTTGATAAGTTAGTTTAGTACAAGTAAAGAATGATAAGATGTCGGCAAAATAGAGATGATATGTAAGCAATAGGAATATAATTATTAATCATTATTAATTATCAATTATACACTGTAGGTCGCTAGTGTAGACGAAGAGGGTTTGGCAGCAATGCACGGCTTACGGCTTAACACACCTAAAGCGAAACAGTTTGGGAGTTTCACAGAAACTTGTGTGACAGCTATAAATTGCTTACCTGTTAACCAACATTTTACTAACGAACAGGTAATACATATTGTTCAACGAACGTTTAGAGTAATAATAATTTTAACAGTAATACTATTAATAACAATAATCTTGATAATAATTACAATAATGATCTTCGTGATACCGTTACGAATTTATAATAACTTACGAATAAATGATAATTATAATTCATATGAATGGTAGTAGTAATAATGATGATGGTATATATAAATTAATAATAATGATGATGATGACGATAATGATAATATTAGTAACAATAATTTTGATAATTACATTGATGATTATAGTGATAACATTACGAATAGTATTATAAAATCTTCTCCTTAAACGTTGTTTAAGGCGAAATCATAGACAGCAAAAGGTCTCAGGTTTGAATCCAAATCGTGGTACGTATTTTTCACACTCGCAGATTCCTCTTCTTTAACGTTTAAAATATATTTATATATACCGTATTTATAGCAATATACCGCAAGACGGTTTAGAGTTTATCTCTATCATATCATGATTTATATATGCATAAATAATACAGTATATGATTTTTGTTATATCTTATAGACAATGGAATTGCTGTCGATGCACCGTGACTTTGTTTCTCTTGTGGTGCAGCCGCTTGATTTGATCACGTGTCTTCAGCGTCAGCAGATAGATTCACTGGAAACGTAGTACTGTACAGTAGAAAAGAATCTGTTACACTGTAATCATTATCGAATGTGGTTTATAAGGATCGAGCAGATTGTCAAATATTCACATAATCATAATACATTCTACTTTTTACGGTTTATAGGCAGTTGGCGCGTCAGTTGGGGGGGGGGGGGTTCGGGGGATGGGGGTGGCAGGGCCCAAGTCAGGGAGAAAAAACCAAAATTCGTCGGTGAGAAAAAAAATCCATGTATTTTCTACATATCAGTAGACTCCAAAATCGATTAAATAAGCCTTTGAAGCCCCTAAATTGTCAAAATTTTGGGGGATCCGACCCCTGGCCACTTTCAGAACATTTTAAGCGACGCTCGACCACGCCCACTTTGCTGTCATAAGGGAAATCTTCCTCTCCACCCCCCCCCCCGTCCCCCCGTCGGGAAAATCCTGGCGCTACCCCTGGTTGTGGTAACCTATCGCTGATAGTCTGGAAAGACCAATAGAAAATGCTGTGAGTGGCGGTGCAATGTGAGATTAGTCAGGTGCGTGACGTATCGATGTGTATTCGTACGTTTTCATTCTTATCTGAGTATAAACAGAATTATGCAATTAAAGCCAGGCCCCAGATGCATAGGAAAAAAATTTTCGAGTAGGCCTAGGCCTCCCACTAAGCCTGCAACTGATTTTTCACAATGGGATGAGATTATTTTTTAATAGGCCTATTAAAAAATTGGGAGGAAAGTGGAAAAGGGGCGTAACTGCCCTTTCCCACCCTTCCCCGGTTTTGAATTTTCAAAAATCGGTAGTCCTATTTCATTAACCATCTTTTTGTGTCTTTGAAAATTCAGTTGTACAACATAGGCCTATCAATTCGATCTTTTTTAATCGTCAATTTTCCATATTTATCCTATATTTACGGGAGATGCGTTAAATCCAATCCAGTATCGGGGTTGTTGTTTCTTATTCTCTGATAAAGATATACATTTCTTCTCCATTCTACACCCATAATGCTTTTCAGGTCCTTATATTCTATACCCTGCATCTTTCTCCAGCACCACATTCCAAAATTATGTATGTTTTCTTCTAAATAATTAAACTGATTTTATTTGTTCGATTTTGAATATTAAAATAAATATTTCAAAAATTACAATTTTATTGGTCTTACATGAGGGGTGTTTTATGTGTGGTTTGTGTCCACATTTATGGAAGTTTTGTACCGAGAAAGCCGAGTTAAAACTCATCCCTGCTGTTTTAACCTTAATGGTATTACGATTGTTCTGAAAGTAGCTAAAATCTATTTAATAATTTAATATTAACGGTGTTTAGTGACGCAAAATTTCAGTTATTGACGCGATAGTATCGTTTATCTGTCTCTTATACACATCTAGATGTGTATAAGAGACAGAAATAAGCCTTTGAAGCCCCTAAATTGTCATATTTTTGGACCAATCGAAGATTTTGAGCGACTCCCGACCTTTGATCTTGTCGGGGACATTAGCCCCCCCCCCTCTTCGTTGAGGACCTCGGACCCCCGGGAAAATCCTGGTTCTCCCACTGTCTATAGATTTTTTTTAGATTATCGTCGGAATTTCGCTGTTTCAATTTAAGTTTTGTAGACCTCTTTAGTGCGATTTTCCTAATAAGTTCAATTCAGTCAATCAATCAATTAATCAATCATTTATTTAATAATTATTATTTATTAATCAGGCAAACACTTACATCTTCACTGATTTTACGAATATCGATTGATGCCAGCAAATGTAAAGGTCTACAGATAGAATATAGAATTAAGTTTGTAGAACTGTAGGACTAACGATATGATATTCAGGAGCTTCCGACCCTATCGATGGGGCTTCATCATCGGGTGTTGTATTGTGATTCACTCCTTATTTTATATAGCTCTTGATATTAAAGTATTATTATTGGATGAAATAAAGTAGGCCTAATACATAAACAAATATAATAAGGATTTGGTATGAAGACGGATATGGTCACAGCATATTTGGTGTGGTGCTCCTCCGTCTGTTATCAGTGTTCTTGGAAAGGTGAAGTCCAAAGCAGTCAGGCTTACAGGGGATGAATCTCTCTCTCACTCACTCCATTCAAACGCTGGCTCATCGTCAATGTGTCACTGCTCTTTCCATTTTCTATCGTTATTTCTTTGCAAAATGCTCTGAGGAGCTTACATCTATCATGCCTCCACTATTTCTCCCAGCTCGTGTAAAACGGTCGACCCACACTAGCCATCAGTGTACACTGTTCTTACTTCCTTTGTTCGTACCGTCTTCCATTCTCGCTCTTTCATCATCCAAACCTCGATTCTCTGAATTTCTCTTCCTTCTTCTTCATCCTTTAACCTAAATATTTTAAAAACTCTTATTAACAAGTGCCCTCTAACCTCTCTTGCCTATTTTCATAGCTCGTTTGCAGGGTCTTGTTATAGGTTTCCCTTTGCCCTGCATCATCTAATAAAAACATTAAAAAAAAGAAAAACAAAGGTGTTAATATAAACAATAAGGTGTGCAGAAGTAAATGCACACAATAGATAGGTCATTAAAATAATAGCATGTTACGATAAATTATATAGTAAATTATGGAATAATTAAAGTGGATACTGAGTAGGAATTAAAAAACTAAAAATAAGTAAGATATAAAGCAGCCATTGTAAATTCCGATTGAGTTATAATACAGCAGGCAACAACACTATAAATGGAAAAATTTATAGCAATATTGATACTGTAATTCTATTAAAAAATAAAATAACATCGAGTACAATCAAAATAATTATTTACAAATAGACTATAGAGCATTCATGATGAAAGCGCTGTAATAATATAAAAGTCAAAAGAGTAAGGAAATAAATAATTTGTTTTTTATTCTTATAAAGAATATAAGAATAATAATTTCCAAGCGTCTGCTAATTAGGGTATAAACTACTCCTTAATTTTTATAATTTATAATTAAAAACATAATTTAATGAACTATTTTATTCTTTAGATTACTAGGTTTATTATCACAAACCAGTGTGTAGGCAGAAGAGATGGTTTGTAAATCAGTATACAGTTGTTGACCATCTCTATATCATATACATGATCAGGGCCTAATAATAAGCAAAATTAACATTAACGACGAATATAAAAATTGTAACGATATGCAGCATTTAGGTAAATTCTAAAACTGATTTCTATGCCATGTACCTCAGTGTGTGTATTTGAGTTTATGAAAGTGCAAACTAATAATATATATTTTTTTAAATATTGTGCAGTATGCCGATATCCAGTCATTCCAAATAAACAGCGCTCTAATTTATTCATATTAATAATGTGATATGTTTGATTTGTATTTTTATATAAGGGCGAGCAACATTCTCTTCTTAATGTAGTATTGTACTTACACAATTAATTTATCTATTACTTCGATTTTTTTCAATAATATTAATTACGATTCATTACGTTTGTTCATTATTATGTGCAGGATGCAGCCTTGTGGATTAAGATTAAAGGACAAACTAGTTTGAAAAATATTTGTTTTACAGAATCGCTTTAATTGGGTTAATTGTTCACTGCGCCTTTGATAATGTTTTTGAATTGGCGCGTTATAAATTTCTGCACATTATTATTTTTCAGCAAATTCGTTGGCATGATTGCTCGATTTATTATAAGTATAATTATCATTTATAGTTATTAGATATATCGTTACAACTTGAATAACAATGGGCCTTTTTGGAGTATCATTATAACTTATCAACTGACCAATCAGAATAGTGCCAGGAATACGCGCGTGTCCAACAAGCACACGTGCTCTCCCACAAAAAACGCACCTGTTCTTGTGGGACCTTAGCAACAATATCCAAGGGGCGTTGCTTAGTTGAAAGGGTCATTACTTCTTCATATCGATAATGTTGATTATTACTACTTAAAGGTGTAAGTCTTTACAACCAAGGAAAATAAAACTAACAAAACCAAAACATGACAAATCTGAAATCTAAGAGATTAAAGACAAGTACAAACCCATGTCTCAATTACCCCTCCTTTCCCTTCTCCAGTCAGGAGTAAAAACACCGAAACCCAAATTACCCATTTAATTATTCCCTTATTACACCATAAATTCCTAACCGCTAATTAATTGAACATTTCAAAATACAAATGCCAAAGTTTAAACTATTTCGAAAAGGAAAAAAAATTGAAACCACAAAAGCATTTAAACAACACAGTATCAAATGAAAAACCAAACCCAATTTCTACCAGGACTCAGATAAGGTAGCTTTTACATTAAAAATACAAATTAAAACATTAAAATTAATCCTTAATTAGGTTCTTTTTATTTGTAACCATTTGTTTTATTATATTATGTTTTACTCAATGGATTTTTATAAGGAACCATGTGACCGTATAAATATAGACTAAGAAACATTTCGCTTTCGTAATAATGTCATAAGCCTACTGTACTGGCAGAATGGAGCACCAAATCAACAGTAAAAAAGAACAAATAAATAAAGTGTAGGAGAAAAACTAACACTCTTCTTCTATTTCCGTTAAGTTGCCGCCTTCATCTTGCTGAAGGTTCTGTAAGTATCTACAAGGTCATGAGTGTCTGTGTTTAACAATAATTATAATAACATTAATAACGATTATATAACCACTAACTGCAACAATAATAATTAATTATATAACATGCAACAGTAATAATTAGAAAAAGAGTACACACATTTTGTTTGTTCCTTTTTTTGATTGAACGTTTTAAACTTTATTTTAATAATTAGTTTTATGTAATACTGCAAAATAAAAATAATAAAAATTTGTGTAACAAGAAATTAAGATACAGATGAACAATATATTATCTTAATTACAATATATTACGCTTATTTTGTCAAATGACGATACAAAATTAAAAAACTCAATTGTGCCAAAAAAGACATTACATCACAAAACGCTACAAACACCAGAGCGGCTGGGGGGGGGGGCTACCTTCCGGAGCGGCATTCGCGGCCCTTGGCCCCTGCACCTGCCTCCGGGCCGCGAATGCCGCTTCGTTATGCCACTGATATTTTGTAGTTCCGCATTTACAATTTTCGCACCTCCCTCTCAGATGGGAACCACCCTACGCCCCCTTGCTTATTAAAACATTTCATCGTTTGAGGAAATAGAATGTTTACGAAACGAAAGGAATGTTTTCTCATC